GGGGTTGGGTTGGGGTGATGTTAACGTTCATATGAAGTTGCACACGGACTTGATGCTACGCTTTGGGAAGTTGCACACGGACTTGATGCTACGCTATGGATGGGGTGGGGATGGGGTTGGGGTGGGGTGATGTTAACGTTTGTATGAAGTTGCACACGGACTTGATGCTGCGCTTTGGATGAATCATGTGTGATACGTGTAGTGTCATGTCTCCGCTCAGGCGGGAATGCTCAGCCAGGAATGGGTGTTGGTGACATTTGCCGACCGGTGTGTAATGGCCTTTTTGGCTTTAATGTGGTAAACATCAAATGAAAGGGGAAGTATGCATCCGAGGACTAGGTCTGTGGCTTGTCACACGAAACGCGTCGAAGAATATGTGCGAAGTTTCCAATTTCGATGGAGCAGCAAAGGCAATTTGCTTGCGGCTTTGGCCCGCAAAGTTCCAAAACTATAAACCCAAGATACCTGCAAAACGCGTGTGCGCACAAAGTTAGTGCATTTGCGGCTTTTCGCCCTTGGAGATTCCATTTCACCAGTCTCGTCTCTGGTAAATAATGGGATAAAACAAGACATGATCCAAGCTGTGAGAAAAGAAAACATGGTAAAAATGGGACGTTTCAAGAACTGTACATGTCCGAAATGTGCAAGTCGCACAGGGTCACTATTGGCGGCGGTACCTTGTTTGAGGGCACCCTAAAATGAAGTACTTGCCACCCAAAAACTATGGCTGGCAATAGAAGCAGATGAACACTTCTCTTTCTAAACCAGACTCATATCGTGACTTGCATCCAACTGCCTTTCACTACGTCTCTAGGTATCACGTCGCATGCACTTGGATGGTGTGAGCATGGTCCTTGGAGCTTCGTTGCCAAGTTTTGATGCGGTTGTTCGGGACGAGTGAGGCCTCATGCGGCATTGGCATAGTGCAAATCAGGGCACCTTGGCGGCACTTTACTTTCAGGCTGCGTTGTTCATTAAATTATTACTCTGGCTTAAACAATCTTCGTTTGACTTACTAATGCAGTGGCCTCCAACCTAATAGCGATGGCCTCCAACCTAATAGCGATGACCTCCAAACTACAAGCGATTCTTGTGCACTGTGAATAATGTGCACGGAAAGCCAATGTCAACTTGCTATCCACGATCGCCCCGCAAAAAGGGGAAACACACCAAACCCAAACACTGGTTTACATTTTGCACTTATATATTGATTGTAAATTGTAAATAAAACTCCATGTTTACACATCTATCTATCTATTATATATATAATTGTGAATCGGACGTCGAACTCCATGTTGGTCAAAACACGCACAAATCGAGAAGCATACCATGACTGTGTCGAATGTCGGCACAAGCTGGGCGGGACCCTGCATGTGGTTGGATCGCGAAAAAGGTGCGATCCTGTAGATGCTATCCACAGTGGTAGCGGAGCACCAAGCTCCAGGTAGTGCTTGTAGCGCCATGGAAGATGGCAGCACCCAGCCGGTGCCTAGAAGTGATGGAAGCGAAGCTGCTGAAGGTGAGCATGCTGGAGTTGGTTCAACCCGGTCTCGAGCGAGAGGCCGTGATGTGTCGCCAGCGGGAGCTGGCATGTCTGATGACTTCGACAGTGATGAGTTTAGAGAGTTTTTGAGGAATCGTCGACGCCGAGACCGAGATCGCGATCGAGGCCGAGGACGTGGTGATGAAGAAGAGGATTGGAAGGGAGGTGGATCCACTTCCAAGCCTCCGGAATGGGATGGTGATGCAACGCCATTCCAAGACTGGCTGATCAAGGCCAAGTTGTGGTTAGCTACCACCAAAGTCCGGAAGACAGCGCAGGGTCCCATGATTCTCCAAGGACTACAAGGGGTAGCATTCCACACGTTCAAGCACTGGGCAAAGGACCTGGAATGGCTTCAAGATGAACAAGGTGGCCATCGACTTTTGGCTGCCATGGATCAACCCGAGAACTTCGGGGACGACAAGGAAGAAGACCTGTTGAGCTCCCTCGCCAAGGTCACGTACCACATCCGAAGAGATCGACAAGAGGGACATCGAACGTTTTTCAATAGATGGGAAGAGGCCATGAGGAGGGTGGCAACTCATCAGGTTGTTTTGCCTGATGCTTACAAAGGATTTTTGCTCATCAACGCCTTGAATCTCAGCGAGCAGGACATCAAAAACATGATGAACTTCAACCGAGGAAGCATTGCCACCAAGGATGTCAAGGAATGGGTTCGCAAACACGAGACGAAGCTCATGGCCAAGGAGGTTGGAATAGACCCGAACAAGAATAAGGGAAAGTCTTCGACCGGGACTTCGTCGACTACACCGGTGCACCACATGAATGTCGATGACCACGCGGACTACACCGATGAGAACGAGATTCTGGAGGCCGTCCTGGAAGAATTGAATGACGACGAGGACGGAGAGAATGGCGAGGAAGGTCAAGAGACCAATGAGGACGAGCTTCTTGATGAACATGAAGTTCGCGAGGTCCTGAACACCATGTACCAGAAGAGGACCTTCAGCCAGAGCTTGAAGCTGAAAAAGGCCAAGGAATTGGCTCGAGGATTTGGTGGCTGGAAGGGAACTGGAAAAGACAAAGGAAAACAAGGAAAAGGAAAGCTGATTGACCAACTCAAGCAGAATAGCCGATGTGCCATTTGCAAAAAGGTTGGTCATTGGCATCGAGAATGTCCTGAAGGGAAAGGAAGAAGCAAATCCACGCCCAAGGAGAACTACTACATGGAAAAGGTGATGGGCAATGAGACTGAGGAAGCCTACTTCTGCGGCCACCTGGAGACTATGGATCCCCTGGATGACATGAAGGACTTCAATGACGAGAAGTTCTTTCGACTGATGGACCCGGTTGACCAGGAAGACCGGGAGATCTATGGAGAGCAATATCGGCACTTTGAAGAGAACTATGAGGATGAAGCATGGCCCCAAGATTCCGACGTCGAGAAGGACGTGGGGACAACCTCACTGATGCCTCCGTCGGTGGCTAAGACTTCAACCGGGACAAGCCCAGCTGAGCCCGAGGATGATCCGAAATTCGGAATTTTTGAGGTGGTTTCCAGCTCCCACAATGTAGCTGGAGAAGACAATCAGTCCAACTCCCGATATAAGGCCCAATGCGCAGCTATTGGAGGGGATATTGGGGGAGAAGATAGTGATTTTTTTGGGATGAAATTTTGTGGACTAGTAATGATTCTTGTTTGCAGGGGAGAGCAACCGAAAATCATTATAAGCCCGATGACCACCGCAGGACCGGCGAGAAGAAACCGGTTCCACCCCAGCTTTTGAGGACACGCCAAGATGACGGATGCGCCACCATTGACACCGGGTGCCAGAGAATGGCGATTGGAGAAGAAACACTACATCGACTAGCCCGACAACTACCCTCCAATCTCGGAATAGGACTAGTACCTCAAGAGCATCGTTTCAGGTCAGTGAACGGGACATCATCCACCACCCATTTGGCCACGATTCCCACCAGTCTTGGTAACAAAGGAAGTCTGCTACGTCCAGCCATCTTTCAGGAGGGAGATTCAAAGAAAGCACCATTTTTGATTTCACTGCCCTTCCTTCTGCATTGTCGGTCCGTTCTTTACCTGGACCCTGAAAGAGGCCTACGACTGCACCTTCGTAGATTCGGGTTCGGGGTGGATTGCCACATTGGTCCAACCGGAGCACTTCGAGTCCCCCTCAACCAGTTCACGAAAGAACAACAAACTCGTCTTCAACAGCTTCAAGAACAACTTCAAACGGAATCATCCGAGTTCGAGATTCTGAAGACAGCTCATGCGGCCGATGACGGCTCAAGTCAAAAGCTCGACGTGGAGACTGGACCTCGAGAACCAAGTCCGCCTTGCCATGAAGCGCAGCCGGATCGAGGAGAACCGGTACGACCACGTGTGGGCTCGCCTGGTGGCCAAGATCCTGTATGTGGTGATGCGACTGACGGAGTTAGCGGTCTCCCTGATGGGACAGAGGATCTATGTCGGAACCATGGACGAAGAGACAGAGACGGAGGTGAACGACATGGAGGACTGGGAACAAATCCGACCTCACGGGAGAAACAAGTTCAACATGTGGCCAACGGAGACCTCTTCCACACGAACCAGACGAAGTGTGGAGAATTCCGTGGCCTCGGACTCAGTCACCCCAGTGAGCCAGACACCACCTACTGCCTCCGAAGAGAAGAGCCCAGGAAGCTATCGCCCTTCGACTCGATCTCCGAATACTCCGACAGAACTGGTGGAGAAGCCACCAGAACCAAAGGCATTCCCAAAGGAGAATTCGAAAAAGGGGAAGAACCTGAAGGGAAACGAGATCGTCGACGAGGAGGACCCGGAGACTTGCGAGCACCACAAAACCACCAAGAGGGGCACCAATGCATTCGTGAACGTGGAGAAATGCCTCAAATGTGGAAAGATCCTGAAATCGGAACGGAAGGCCGATCTGACGGAGATCAAGATCAAGATCGAGCAGGAAGATCAAGAGGAGAAGCCGATGATGGACAAGGACAAGGCCGACTTCGCAGAGTTCCTAGAGTACCAGAAATGGAAGGCCGAGAGAAACAGGTCACAGACCGGTGGCAACAAGAAGTAGAACAATGGGGCCAATGGAAGAAACTTGAAAAGAAACAACAGAAGGCGATGGAATCAGCTTTGAAAACGGCTGAGAACTATTTGCAGGAGATTATGACGCTTCTGAGAGAGGATGAGCCAATTTGCGCCATCGAGAAAGATCTAGAGCGCATCAAGTCCAACACGAGAAGCCTCCAAAAGTATGCTAGAATGATAAAGGGATCCCCCAAGACCGTCGTTGAGATTTTCAACCCGAAGCGATTTGCACCTCGTTGCACTCGGGCAGGACTCGTCGCGGCAGCAGCTTTCGACCTCGAGCTTGGGGACCAACTCTTGGATCCAAAAGAACGAGACCAAGTGATGAACTTCATCAAAGACTTCAAACCAGGACTGGTCATCATCTCTCCACCATGCACCCTGTTTAGCATCATGCAGAACATGAATGTGAGAAAGGAGGACTTCCAAAAACGACTTCGACAAGCTCGAGTTCTGCTCAATTTCGCCTGTGAGGTGATAAGTGCGGTGCTGGACTACGGAGGAACCTATTTGTTAGAGCAACCTTTGACCTCGAAGGCCTGGACCGAAAGAGCCCTACAGAAGGTCATCAACCGGGATGATAGCATTCTCACCTCCTGTGACCAATGTCAATATGGACTTCAAGATGCCCAAGGAGGATGGATGAAGAAACGAACTGGATGGATCACCAACAGCCAGGAAATCGCGGACAAATTGAAGCAGCAATGCGACGGGAGCCACCAGCATATTCCAGTTCTCGGCTCTTGCAAGGGGGAAAGTCGTTCGACTCAGGCTCAAAGATACCCAGACGCACTCGTCGATGCTATACTGCAGGGATACGAGCAGGGCCTTATACACCCCAAGAAGGAGATCACCTGGCTAGGACTTCGTGATTGTCGAGAACTTGAAGAACGAACAAGGAGTCGCAAAGACCAATGGACCTGGCTGGGCCAGAACGAACATGAAGTACACGCCCAACAAGAAGAACCAGAGGAAGATGGAGAAGAAGGAGAAGGAGACAGTCGCTTAGGAAAAGCCTACCTTCCTCGAGAAAGACCATTCTCAACAGAGCAGTTGGTGCGAAGAGCGCATGAAGGACTTGGACACCCAGGAAATGACCGACTGGCGAGAATCCTCCAGAGTGCCAGTGCTTCACGAAAAGCAATCGAATGTGCCAAGACTCTGGTTTGTGACACGTGCCAACAGCACCAACTTGTCAGACCTCCCAGAGCCGCGGCACCACCAAAAGAACTACCACCAAATCACACGATTGGAGTGGATACCATTTGGCTTCCTACACCTGGAAAGAAACGCAGAATGGCATTGAATATCGTTTGCTGGTCTACGAGATTTCAAATGGTGATTCCACTCCGAAGCCACACTGCTCCTGACACCAGAAGAGCCTATTTAGAATGGGTTCGATTCATGGGGGTGCCACAGCGACTTTACACGGACTTGGGAAAAGAATTCTGTGCTGCCTTCCAGGATGGAGCTGAACTGGATGACACCATTGTCGAACCCAGTGCCTTGGAAATGCCAACTCAAAGATCGATCACCGAAAGATCAGGAAAAACCTTCAAGGAAGTGCTCACCAAGGCCATGGAGACCTATGCGGTACAGAATGACTCCGAGTGGAGAGATTTGGTGGACATCGTGAACATGACCGTGAACCGCCTCACCAACAAATCGGGATTCTCACCCGCACAACGGCTTCTGGGATACACGCCAAAAATGCCAGGAAGCCTCCAGTTCCTGTCGCAAGAAGAGCAAAAAGAAAGGAATTGGGCAAATCGAGGAGATCTTCAGATGCAAAGAGCACAAACGATGCGACTGGCGGCAGCAAAAGCATTCCATGAAACAGAATGCCACCAAGCACTAAGGAATTCCCTACATGCCGGACGTCGTGCTGTACCCGAATTCGAAGTTGGACAAACCGTCTACTTCTGGAAGCAAGTCGAGATAGCACAAAATATTGGAGAGGCCCAGCAAAGGTGGTCCTCACATCACCACCAAATGCCATTTGGATCAACTTCAGGCGGCGCATCGTCAAGGCGGCGCCAGAACAACTACGGCATGCTAGTGAAGAAGAACAGATATCATTGTCTTCATGGATGGAAGGTCTATCGAACCTCCGGCACATCATGTCAGAAGAACCGAAGGCTGGCTACATCGACCTCACCAAGGAGTACAACGCTGAGGAGATGGATCAAGAAATGGAAGAAGTTGGGCTTCCGCCTGAGGAGCAACCGATGAAGAAACCAAGATACAAGGTCGAAGGAAAAACTCCCTTGAAGGATGTGGAAGAACGACCAGAAGAAGATGAATGGATGTGGAATGAGCAGAAAGGAATATTAACCCGGTTCCATCTACAACTTCGACAACAGAGCTTCCGACCAACAGATACAAGCGATTGTCCTGTCGATTACAACAAGCTTCAAGGACACCGACGGACCACGATGTACTTCGAGGATGGGAACATCATTGAGACTGTGGATGACTGGAGAAAAGACAGTCCCACACAGTCGAGGAGATGGAAAGGAAGAACTGAATTTCAAATGGATCTCACTCCACTTCCATGGGATCACGAAGCACCAAAGATGGAAGATACCCCAGCCGCGGAGGAACAACCAGAAAAGGAGGAATCACAGGACGTGGGAGAAGAGCAACCTATGCATGTCCACAAGAGGCAAGTTGAAGAGGAGAAAAAAGATCGAAGAGAAAAGAAGATGAAACATAACCCTGAAGAAGAAGAACTATCTCGTGGACAAGTACGACCTTATGAACAAGAAGAACAACAAGAAGGAGATCCCGTCACAAAAAGACAGAGGATCGACTGGACTGAAGTTATGCTCCAGACATTGGTTCAAGAAACCAAGAAACAAAAAGGACAAAAAGAAATCAAACTGAAGGAACTCATGCAATTCGCAAGGGAGAAGTTCCTGAAAGCCATCAAGAAGGAGATTGATAATAACATCACCACTGGAGCCTATGAGATTCTAACGCCCGAAGAATCAGAAGAAGTCCGACGAGGAGGCCACAACATCCTACAATCGCGATATGTCCTCGTTGAAAAGCGAATTGATCCTGACGAAGTGGAAGAGATGAGGACGAACGACCTTCTTCTCCGAGAAGATGAACATGGAGGATTCAAAGCGAAGGCGAGACATGTCATGAAGGGCTTCAGTGAACCTGATTCAGAATGGCTTGAAGCTGCTACTCCACAAGTGGCACCAGAAACGGTCCTCCTAATCCTTCAGACTATTTGCTCATGCCGGTGGACCCCAGGATACTTGGACTTCACTCAGGCTTTCCACAGCGGCGATGAAATCTCGAGGCTTCTATTTGCAGAGCTCCCAGCTGAAGGAATCCCAGGAGTCGACAAAAGACAATTGCTCAAATTGAAGAAGCACTGCTATGGACTCCTGGATGGACCTTATCAATGGTACGTTCACCTTCAACGTGTCCTGAAGGATTTAGGCTATGAGCAATCTCAAGCCGATCCCTGCTTATTCCTACTTTTTAAAGAACCTGAACGACCAGATCGAGAGGGAGGAGAAGCCAGGACAATAGAAGGAATTGTGGGAGTGGCCACGGACGATCTACTACACGGCGGAGGAAACAGACACTGGTCGAACATGCGTTGGATTCAACAACACTACAAGCTCGGCAAGTTCACTCAAGGAGATGGACGATTCGTTGGAAAAGAGATCCAATGTCTCAAAGATGGTCGCATCAAAGTGCACCAAGCCATGTATGTCAAGGAGAAGATTCATACAGTGAACATTACAAAAGATCGAAAGAAAGAAAAATACAATCTCTGCAGCGAAGATGAAATCTCAGCACTCCGAGCGTTGCTCGGATCATTAGCTTGGCTGGCCAAAGAGACAAGACCCGACCTGATGGGACGTGTCTGCATCTTACAGCAATGCAGGCCTCGGCCATACATCCGGGACTTGATCGAAGCAAACGCATTGGCGCAAGAAGCGGAAAAGGAAATCGATGCCGGAATCATGATCACCCCCATCGATAGAAGGGATCTTCGAATTGGATCAGCCTCCGACGCAAGTTGGGGCAACTCACCATGCAAGGAACTTGAAGAGAAGAGCAAAGATTTTTGGGAGGAACGAGGTGACCTTTGGATTAGACATCATGTTCAACCTCGGCATCTGCTTTTCCATCCAGGAGCTGACTCCAGTGGACCGCAACTCCATGATCTTGAAGTGGAGCGTGCTACTTGGGTTGATGGAGAATTGTTTGAAGACACCTGGAATCGTCGAGAAGATTTTCGACGACGTGGAGATTCAGAATGGAAAGGACACACCGTCTTCATGAAGAAGAAGGAAAAGAAGAACAAAGTCGAAATTCATGAAAAATTTCTACAAGTCGGACGAACACACAGCCAAGGTGGACATATAGTCTACGCCTATGACAAGAAACTCGAAACCGAGCAAACTCCACAAGCCCTGTCGATTCTGAGTTGGAAGAGCTATAAGTTGAAAAGATGCACAGTCAACACCTTGGCGGCCGAAGCTCAAGCAATGGTTCAAGGAGTTGGAGGTTCATACTGGCTAAGGTTTCTATGGTCAGAGATCCAAGGCTACAAGATGAACCTGAACAACTGGCAAGAACGAATAAGTCGAACTCCATTCATAGCAGCAACAGACTCAAGATCTTTGTTCGACAACCTGAGCAAGTCAAAGAATGTGGCCGCACACATCGAAGACAAACGCACAGCCATCGACTTAACGATCCTGAAGAATGACATGATGAGCACTCGAGGACAGGTCCGGTGGGTTCCAGGTGAAATAATGATTTCGGACTCTCTCACGAAAAAGGGCACCTCTAATTTCCTTCGAAAGATAATGCGCTGCTCGTGTTGGACCTTATGTGAGTACGGAGCCAAAGCGCTTCAGCAGTTTTGACCAAAGAAGATTTGGAGCGATGTGAATCGGACGTCGAACTCCATGTTGGTCAAAACACGCACAAATCGAGAAGCGTACCATGACTGTGTCGAATGTCGGCACAAGCTGGGCGGGACCCTGCATGTGGTTGGATCGCGAAAAAGGTGCGATCCTGTAGATGCTATCCACAATAATATATATATTCATTCTATAATTAACGCTCCGTTGTTTTGTCATCTACATTTTACATCAGGGTCTTCCCCAGCGGTGATGCTTTCCTCAGGAGTGGACGGTGCTGAAGAGAGGTACCTTCAGGCGAGCCTTTAGAAAATCCGATACCGGCAGGCTCAATCCTTCTCCGCTCTAATCCAATCTTCCAACCAATCTTCTACGTTTTCCTTGATTTTTGCACTTCTCAAGGCCTGCAGTGCAGCGGAACTTGAAGCGGTGCAGTCTGGAGCTCGATGCGGTTTAAACCTTGAGGACATCAGGAGCTTTGTGAGTCCTTCCAGCCCAGGTGTGCTGCCTTCTCAGCCTTGAAGCCTGGTGAATGGTCCCCAAGCGGCACTCAAATTTCATGGTTTCACAATGATAGACAAACTCCTGCGTCAGGAAACAACTGGCAGAAAGGACTATCCGAGCATCTCGTCAGGACCGATGAGATTTGATGCTATCGTACCACTCGCATTGTAATCGTTGCTACACAGTTACCATCAGCTATATTTGTAGCCTATGAAGTGATCAAGACTGATGGTAGCATTTATAGCCACTTAGTCTCTGGATGAATACTCTCGGCAGTGGTCGATTTGAGAGGCAGTTGCAGCGGAGAAAGACTTCCAGAAGGCTGAGCTGGATTGGCAGATTTTCTTGACAGAGTTTTGTGAGCTGGAGGCCTTTCACAAGTTTAACACATCCGTGGATCTGCAGGAGATTGTTTCAATTGCTACTAATTATGTATATATATACACATAGTAATAGTGTGTATATATATATAATTACACATATATTTAATACAACATATATATATATATATGTCACTTGCAAACGAAGAGACTGTAGGCCTATAGGGGGTCTAGACGGTGGACGAGGTGGAAGTGCACAAAAAACTCAGTTGCAACATGGTTAGAAGGCGATTGTGGGCGTCGGGGACGTTCAATACATCAAGACCTTGACAATATAGAGTACCGTACACCCTGTTGGTGGCCCAAATAGTGGCTTGGAGGGCTTAAAAGGTTTTTTGGGCCACCCAACCGGCAAATGGCAAAGGTTCGTTTCTCCTACCCTGCAGGTCTTGTTTTTTGCAGTCCCAGATACTGCCATCGCAAAGAAAAGAGCACATCAATGACTCACGGTCACGGTGGATGGGAACCCTGACCGTGCGCTGGTTTTTGTTTCCCTAGTTTCCCTACATGTTCAAACTTTCAAAGTGATGCTGACCAGGAGAAGCAGATGGCAGCGGTGCTCGATGCTGCGCAGGCTTTGTCGCAGCAAGTTGTTGGTGCAGCTTTTTCAGACAGCTTTGAAGGTTTATAATCTTTCAAGTCCGACAGTTTGGCACAATCCCAAGCAGTCAAGCCAGGACATGGAAGAAAAAAGGGCAATGTGCCTCCAGGAGTTTTGTGTGATGCTTTTCTTCATACAACAGCAATTATTTGACTTCAGTGTGACAGCCGCAGCTGTCCAAACTATATGTCGAGGATGCTGTCATGAAAATTGCTGTGGTAGCCCCAGAAGCATGCCTTTATTGATTTTGAACACTAACTTCTGCAAACTGGCTGCAGGTTTTTGACACGTCTTGGTTGCGCAATGTGCAGTCCCTCACTTCAAGTTTTGAGTGCCCGCATGTGGCATGTCAGTGCATTAAATCAGTTCACAACAGTTTCAAGGCCGAACTAAGGGAAGCAACATGTTGACCTCGGCTGAGGTATGACATTGACTCTGGTGTGCAGGCCCTTGAAGACAGCAAGAAACTCAATACATTCTTTGACCGAAACCAACTAAAGGCAAGGCCACGCAGAGAGTTTTCACAATCTCGGCCTTTATCCCACTTGCTCAACATACAAATGCACATTGCATTGATTCGTTCGTATATTCATATCAGTGCAACTCTCTTTACGCCCAGGCGATAGTTTGCAAGACCTTCAAGCATTCATGCAGAGGAATCGCTCAAAGGCCGGGACAATACCATAGAATCGTCATTGCATGAGATATGGCAGGGCTTTGATTCAACCAACGGTGTTCAGAGAAGCGTTTGAAGTGTTCCATTTCAGGTGGCGTTCCCTCTGAAAAAGATTTGGAGGCAAATCAGCAAAGACGGATTGCAATTCGCTTATGTTGGTTTCGCATCATTACAGCACTTTCCGTGATTCTGTTGTTTTGCCCTGCCTAGACCACCATGGGATGCGAATGCCGCTTCAGACTCCGGGTTCTCCCAGGCAGCGGACCTCACATGGCGCAAGTCTGAGGCCAGCAAAAGAACATAGAAATGAACGCAAGGCGATTGAGAAAGATTTGCTCATAATGCATGCACAATGATGCACACACACTTATGTAACTGTAATATCATGTACTTATATATATATATATATGTAAGCATAACACACACACATTGCACAATATACATAGCACTGTTTGCCCAACCCCAAAGCAGGCAACAAGCTTCCACTCAAACTCACGCACTGAGTGCACTTTGGCAATGGCTTGAGTCGTTTGTAAAGGAACTTCGGCCGCTGGTGCGAAGCCTTTTGAATCGCAAAGGCGCCTTCATTATATCATGTCCAGGATGACCACACATGTTTCGAAATCCCTCAAGGCCCAGACTCCAATCACTCCGATGAGAATTCTGGCCTTCCAAATGAGGCTCAGACTGCTTGTGCTTGCGATCAAGAATGGCCATTGTGCTGTGTGGCAAGGAAGAAGTCCGCCGATTATGTGATTTGCTGGCTGCCAAAGCCTCTGAACCGGCAGGACATGAAGGCCTGCTCCACTCAGATTTCATTGATTTCTCTTCCGTCTCTTCTCAATATTTTTCCTGAAGCAATAGCAGACTTTTGTTGACATGAAGCCGTGGAGACTTTTGTCCGATTGCCTTTTTGCAACGGAGGCGTGACTGGAGGATGCCTCGCGCGTGTTGGCCTTTGGCGTTTGGTGACATGCAGTGACGTCACATGGTATTGGCATATATTGGCATGCATTTTCGGGAAAGATGAGACGATCATCCTAGGGTCTGCATTCTGCTCTGCAATTCGCGCGGAGTTGAGTCTATCATTTGCCCCGGCCTGCTCCCAAGACTTCCAAGGCTTGCACGTCAGACTCTCCTTCAACTGCTACTGTAACGCGTTGCACATGAGAACGTGTTTTGTATAGTTTTTGACACGAAAAGACAATCGCCCAATCGCAAAGCAGCTTGACGAACGTCTACTCGTTGGTGTTGCAGTTTGTGGGACCAGTACCTTTTGTTCAGAAGGGTGAATAAACTTTAATGATCTTTAATGATATTTTAGGCATTTTTAGGCCTCTCTGAGACAGAAAGCCCCGGCAAAGGTTAGGAACTTTATCAAATCATTTGAACACCTTCGGATCTTGGAGCCAAGAGCTGCTTAGGATGCGCCTGTGCGCAGCGGCGAGCCGTGATGGCCTCAAAGTTCAAATGCAGTTTCAACTTTCAACAGCTTCGAATGAACATGAATAAATACATACGACTGTATTGGCAGGCCTTTGGAATAATTTGGAATACCAGATTGTTTTCGATTCAAGTGTTGGGTGCTTCCAGCTGATCTTTCATGTTTGGCGCATTCAGTTCAAGGCCACAGGCTGCTGAGCTAAGCGAGGATGCCTTTGAGATCGCAGTGTCCCTCTTCCAGGTCAAGGGACATTGCAGTGCATTTGATGTATATCAAGACATCACATCAACAACGCATGAAACATTCAACGGCATCATGAATCATGCCATTATGATGCTGGGTTTGCATTGTGCCTGATTATATAGTCCGCTTTTCGTACTCCAGGGTCAATGCGTTCACCTCACAGAATCCTGGAATAGTATTTTCAAGACCCTGCAGGTCCTTATAGCACATCTAAGCACTTCTAAGCAGGTCTTTTCATAGGTCAATGGAGAAGCAGTACAGCAATAGCTCTTTAGTGACTGCTTATTGCTTTGCACAAATCCCATCTCGGGAGGCAGCGCTGGATGGAGCTGACAAAGACTCTGATGTTTGGAACGGAAGAGACTTATTGGCCAGGCCCTCGAACCGGCACACGCAGCTCAACCTGATGTTTCTGTAAGGGTTTGTTACTCTTGGGTCCACATCACTGGGAATCTCAACACACGCTTCACTCACAGTATTCCAAACGGGTCCAATCACTACATCCCATCCGAAGCCTTGTCACGTGCAATCTCGACAAGTTCGTACTACTTGATACTTGTCCCCTCACATGCTTACAGCTTGTACTGAACAAAGCATAGGGACATGCATGGTACTTGGTACAGGGAAACCGTTGGACACGTTTAGCCCTTGGCCCTCAAGTCTGGACCTGTGAGTTCAATTCGACTCAATGTTACGCAAGGTTTATGCACAGTTGTTCTTCCCAAGGTCCTTTCGAAGTTTCTTCAACTTCAGGCCAGTGGATTGCAGTTTAGACAAGACTGTGTGAGAAATGATAATGGTAGGATTCGCGCAAAGACGTTCTTCTCAGAGTCTACAATCATCCCCTTTGGAGCCGGCAACTCTGGCACTTTGTGGCCTTACATGCTTTCGTTATGTCTGCCATTATCTATTTCTACGTGCTTAGAACATGTTAGGCCAAAATAATGGCCTGCCATTTTGGCTCAAGTATGCGAGCACTGATCTTTTGGATGGAGTGGACGCCACCGCGGGAGGCCCTTTCTACTGTCTCTTCAGACACGGACTTTGAGATCATGGAGGTCCAAGAGCACTTCAGAAGAAGCTGGAGACCCCCAGACAGATCCGCCGCGAAGGCTGCGCGGGCAGCCGCAGCCCTGCAGCGGCTCCGACAGAGAGGAGCCCGGAGAAGGAGATGTGCACATGGCCTTGTCACCTTGACAGTACGCCATCCAGCTGGCCCAGGAAAGCGCCGCTAAACATCGTGGACACTTTGGCCAATGTCGGGCCACGGAGATAGAGAGCGGAGTGAACAGATCACCTGCACCTGCACCTTTGTCGAGTTCGTCCCCGCTTTGTACAACGACATCCTGAATGTTGCCCCCACCTCGAAGTGAACGGGGCTAGTGATGTCAGTGCAAGGCCAATTCCAGCTGAAGATGGGCCCGGTCAAGCATTTATATATTTGCGGCACTTCTCGCAGAAGACTCCAGCGCTGGTTCTTGCTTGCACAGGGGGGGTCCCTGATCGCGGACAACCTGGGCAACATCTTGATGGGTCAGGCCACCGAGCGGACCCACTGCGCGGCCTTGTCCAGCTACTGACTTGCCACCACAGCAACCTGAACCTTTGCGCAGATAAACTTGACAATTGATCACTCTGATCCTCAAGGATTTGATCCAAGCCGCCAGTTCAATTGTTCCCCCTCAAACCCTGGGTGATGGGAGGACGGAGCCCCACCATGGACAGCGAGCGAGGTGTGCCTCAGCTACAGCGGGTGTAGTTTCTTGGTTCACACTGTTCACACCTACCTTTTTCTCCGTACGGGGACTGGGGTCTTCTCTTTCCCTTTCGCATCCTCTACGGAAAACAGCTTCTAACAACATGTTCCAGCGAACCACCCAAAAGACGGAAATGGGAAGGCAGTGTCGTCTGAAAGAGAAGGGCAGGCTGGGAAGTTAATCTGCAAAACTGCAGTGAGGCTCATCATGCTGGGCATGCCCAGCAGATTGTGAGCACAATTCTTTTATATATGGCCTGCTGAACCATGGGTCAAAAGCGTTAATGCGTGAGGTGTCATCATGGCTGGAGTATGCTGGCATCATTTTTCTCCAAAGGCTGCATGGTGAGGCCTCTGCTGCACAGGCGGCTACACAGTTGGACCAAGAACAGCAAGACCTGGTGAAACAACTTGTGCAAGAACCCGGTTGCATACATTCAATTTGGTCTCCTCCTGGTGGTGGAAAAAGCTTTGTGCTTGCAGCCCTTCTTGCTTCTTGGGCGACCCGAGCTGCTCCCAACGCTTTGGCATGCTACGTGACCAACAGAAAAAACACAGAGAGCCCATGTTGCAGCAGCTGCGGCGTGCTTTGCAACCTGACCAAGTCTACGTTCTGGCTGGTCAGGTGGAGGATCCTGATGCAGATGTCCACATACAAGCATGGCTGATGTCCTCCACTGCCTGGATGAGCTGGACAGCAACATTGATGTCGTCACACCCACGTTGCCTCTGGATGCAATTTTGTCCCTTCACGCTGAAAGAGTGCAAATCCTCTTCTGCGAGTATTTGTGGAAAAATGGAAGAAGAGCTGCAACTTTTGAGTTCCGCCTTCAACAGAACAAACTGACCACCTGCCAGAAAAGGATACTGCGATTTCTGGATGGCTGTTCACTTTCGGCTTAACATTTCAAGATACTTCGTTGTTTCTTGCTTTTTCTGACTGTCCGCCAATTAGTTCTTCCGATCTTTTAGTTGCTTAATCTCTACTGGTGCTTTGCCAGGGTCACCTTCTGGGAAGACCTGCTGCTTGCTGGCTTGGCGGAGGCGCGCTGCAAAGCGTGGATGCCAGCAGCAAAGAATCAACAAAGAACCACACATTGCCTGAGTCGAGGCTCACTTCCAGCTAGTCCTGTCGAGATGGGCTTCGCCATCAAGTCCGCCCCGCAAGTCTTTTCAATCGGACAACGATGCCAATTGGCCAACCCCCTTGTGCTGTGTTGAACATATAATTTTTCTATGGCTGTGCTTGTGCGCACCGCCAATGAAGGGAGGCCAGTCCTTCTGTCAAACCATTTCAACTTGAAGGACTGCCGGAGTCACTTTCCTGCCAAGTTGCGTGGGGACCACAGAATGATCAAAATTTGGAAGGAAGCGCCAAGTTACCCTGAAATTTGTGAACCAAGCCAACCACGCGAAGAGCCCGAGCCCAAACCCTCTCAGCCCCTAGTAGTTTCTTGAGAGATTAGCAGCTCTTCTTGTTGCGGCCAATTGCCTTTATACAAATGGTGTTTGTACCAGACTTGGTTTGACAGCAATCTACCCATTCCAAGGGATGCAGCATCTGCCAAGCGAGAGGTTCAGGAGGCCGGCAGCTACAACACGAAACAGAAAGAAAACAATATATTTTCTATTATTTTCTATCGTTTCGAGGTTGTCATGACCCCTTTCTTGCAGCGCTACATGGCTTACATGGTTTCCCTTGGAATCAACTTTGAGCAGGCTCGGTTAGTGACAAACGGCTGGTTGTTCTTTGGTAAGTTGAATAATTGATTGGCGCAGAGTGGCACGGAGCAAAGATTTCAAGTGTAGTCAAGCAAACTTGGGTGGACCAACTTTCCTTTTGCGTTCAGGCTCGTGGCTCCGCTGTGCGAACCCTGCGCAAGCATGTAGAACTCCTTGGGACAAGCCATGAGGCAAATGGGCTTACACACCGTGGCAATTGTGATTGTCCTTTTGAGTGCATCCGCCTTTGGCCTCTCTCCGCACGGCTCATGTCACCGTGGAAAGCAAACAGAGGAATTGACCGGCACAAAACGGCAGCGCAAGTCATGTGAGATGGGAAGTCTGTGTTCACTCACACAGACGCGACGCACAAATTGCCAAACATATGAATTGCCAGTTGCTTGTTGGCTCCTTTTGGACTTGCTCTTTTTTTGCCCTTTACCTCAGTGCTTTGCATGCATTGGGCTTGGAGGCTTATCTACAGCTTATCACGCATGAAGCAAATGCGATGCCTCTGGCATTTGGCGATGAGGGCAAGCGCGCAACAAGGCCTGAATTTCCTCGAGCCAGTTTCAAACCAGATACGTAGTAGATATTCAACGATATTCATCCAACATCATCCAACTATTTGACCAATGGCGAGGATTGTTCCGAATAAGGCCTCTGGAGATTTACCGCTATCGGGGGGCACAGGATATGACTCAACCCATTGCAGTGAATATTTCAGACAGGTGATTCGTCTCCTCCCTCTCCTAGCTGGCGTTCAACTCAGAATTTTTTGAACTGAAGGAGAGCACACAGGCAAGGTGACAGAACACCAAATTGGCATCTATCGTGACAGGTATCGTAACTATCACAGATGTGTCATGATATGTCAATGATTTTGAGATCGTCTTCAGCAAGCCTTGCCGCATGCTTCTGGCTCAGCAAGCTTGCTTGAGTTGAGTTAGGCAGGACTCCAGCGGAGAGCTGTCCGGATCCGCTCAGACGGCTCGTCCGGCTTGCCGTTGCTCCCAAAAGTTGCAGGAGGGAGACGTTGGCTCCCATTTAGTGACAACTTAGCATGAGCTCAATGCAGAAAACATCAGCACCCCAGCTACTCCACAGATTATTGCGTTTGACTGTTCTGATGGTCACTCCAGGCTTTTCAGCAGTTATTCTGTTATTTAGGCACGCAGTAGTTAATGATTTCACACGCCGGAACCTGAAGCTTCCGGAGTGGGCCAGAATCTGAGTCCCAAATTTCAACCGCACCACGCGCGATGATGCACGCTGTTCAGAATGTTTGAAATTTCAGGTGATGCGATCTGGTCTGCTCTTGTAGCGTCTGAAGGATGTTGCCGGGAAGACTGACAGATCTTGGAGAGGACCCTTGCTGTAGAGCACAACACCACATTTATTTGATCTTGGAATCTGGAATCGATGGGTCGTTGGGTCATTGCAGTTGGACCATTGGTTGCCCAAAGGACCTCGCATCGATGAAGGAGCCTTTACCCTTCCCAGAGGCTTCTGAGCCCAGATCAGTGGATAAAGCCGAAAACCCTCAGTGACGAAGCTCATGGAAACTGCAATATCATCGGCTTCCAGAAGCCAGCGATTGCTTTGATGGTAATTGGCAGAAGGGAGAGCCTTTGAGGCTGTACACCAACTTTTCCCCGGAAGATACTTCTTGTTTCAGACTTGCAGTGGGTTATGATTTTGAATCCTTCGCTGAAGCAACATTGCTGGCATGGCATGTATTATAGACAATAGACAATTATAGAGCTGTTGCTTTCCAGTTCAATGCAGGTGCCATCAAGTGCCTTTAAGAATTTGGCAAGCTCCGCTCCAAGAGCCCATTCTGATGGAATTGCAGATTGCCGGGATCGAAGCCGCAGAAACCATGCAATCCGTCTGGAGCGCTAAGGTGACTCGATGCGAGATGAGATAATGATGGAGGAAGTGGGACGCTATGAGCTACTCTATGAGCTTCACATAGCTTCATGACGCTATGAACTACGATCCGTTTACATCCTGTTTGTGTCCAAGGATGCGGCTGCTGCCTTGAGCGCTGCATCCAAGAAGGCCGGAGGAGAAGGGAAAGAACAGAGTGGGAAGTGTCACTGTCCAGCCTAGAAAACGACAGCTTATAGGGCCTATAACTTGGAGTCATCCTGGGTGCAGATTGGACAGCATGATTATTTCTTTGCAATCAGGTGGCACCTTTCCTCCGCGGTAATGTGCACAAACCCGTCGCAGCGAGCGACGCAAGTGTGGTGATCTTATTTTGGTTTGGCTTTCATTGCACTGTGCAGTATGCTGCCAACATTCCAATACCATGACTAGAAAGCTTGTTTTGTCTCAGGTCAGAGGAACAACACCGAGCATATCCCCTGCAGGCCTGTCATTCTTCCCCGATAACGAGTTCTTTACTTATGAACCTATGATCTTATGATTGCACGAAAGAATTGGGAACTTGTTTTTTATTGTTTTTTACTGACAAGAGTTGACAGCTATGCTTGTAGCACAACGAAATGCAGTCACACGAGCTGTCATCTTGATGGACACAAAAGAGACTTGATGGTTTGCATCCCGGCTTGGCCTGCAACAGGAAGTGCTCAATCATGGCAGGAGCTTACTGTGTCTTGGGTGATGCCTGCACGCTATACGTAAATCTCTTTACACCTGCAGGAGGCTTTGAGAAGAGAGGGGATGATTGGCCCACATCCATCTTTGAAGGATTGGACAGCTGGTTCCTTTAGCTTTTTGAGAACTGATTATCAATTAATGCCCTTGTGCCAGGATGAGTGATTGCTCTAGATAGCAATGGTTTGCAGAGCCTATCGCATACTTTCAAACAGTTTGTCGTACTGTATTATATTCGCTGGAGAGACCATGGGGAACAACCAGGGTTGGGTTCAATTTGTGACGCCAGGAGGCTGCAATTGGCCCTAGGTGCGAGTTGACACTTTCATGCATTCTGCCAAGCTGTGCGGGATGAAACTGTGCAGGAACCTGGGTTTGGTATCTCCAAACGGACAGCGCCCTTTTCATCCAGGCTGAAACGAAAGCGGTAGTGCAGTAGTGTTCCAGACAAGTATATTGACATGTTGGATGCATCAGGTTTTCTCGGGCCAGACACCCGCCTGCCAACCCCCGAGCAGGACAGGAACTCAATGCAATCCAAGACATTCCAAGACATATGTGTTTGCATGTTTTTGCAATGCAGTGCTTTCAGGAGCGCGCAGCGCCGGCTGCTATAGGCTGCCTACCGGGAAAGCCCGGTCCTCAATGCATGCATTGAGTGTCGGCACCCTTGCAGGCCCACATGTTGGTCTTTCAACGCAGGCGGGTTTTTTTTGTCCCGGGCAAAGTCGCCAAAGCACTACAGCAGCACCAAAGCACTGGAGGCCGAGCGAGACGTCCGGACGCCACCTATGACAGCCATGACAGCAGGTCAAAGCCAAAGAGGTCGGCCCGTGGCAACCTTTCCCCATCTGTCAAGTAGAAGCCAAGAAGCGAACCAGCCTTTTCAAATGACTGACGAGAAATGCGTGAAAGCCTTTTTCAGCCTCAGAAGCTCATTGACCCAGGACGTATCAACCAAAAGGTGCAGGGTCTTCTCCGTGCCCACCAAGCAGCGCTGCACAATGAAGGTGAAGCAATCCGTGCTTGTCGTTTGCCGTGCCTTTATTCTGCAATGATGCCTTTTTACGTGTGGGAAGGCACTACGCAACCCACCGTGCCGGCAGCAGGGTCTTTGCCGGCACCCACCATGGTGAAACAAGCCTGGTTCATTTAAAAAAAACAAATTTGCAAGGGGTGGCCTGAAATGTCAAACTGCCAGGTTAACGGTGCAGCTGCAGCTGCAGCGCCTGATCGTACCCAACAGTTGCGTCAGGCGACCTTCTAGCCTGGCTGACAGAAATTTGCGAGAGACCGAATGTCAATCTCAAGTTGCCCGGAGGTATGCCGATTGTCCCTTGTGTGGCCATGTTTGGCGAACCACTGGGCATTTCGGCATTTCTTCCCCTATATTATGCTGTTACAAGATTCCGTAGCGGGAAAGTGAGCATGAATACATCACAAGGCCAGCGCAGGTAAACATGCAGGCTGCTAGAGTCAGTAAAGAGCGAAAGCCCATGGGTGCTTACATCCTACCGCAGCAGCGCTTGGCACAGCTCAGTTAGATACTCACAGCTCCTTGTACTGACAAAAAGCCCGGAGTAAGTTGGGATGAAAACTGTTGTATGCCTTGGTATGCAGAGTAGAACGTGAACCCCGCAGGCGAAGGAAGTCATCGCCTCGCTCGACAGTTGCGGAGATCCCACAGTTCGATACCCAGGACATGTGACTTAGGTTATTAGTTGGACTTAGCTAATGTAGTTTGTCCATGTTTGTCCGCTTGGCTCTTCAGCCCTTATGGTTCACCCATTGTCATTGTTGGAATTTCTAGGTCGTGCAACGCTGGATCCTGCACTTGGAAGGGTGATGGCCTTAAAGCTGGATTGGCTAGAATCCGTGGGTTCTGGCAAGCAGCCAGCAGCCACGCTGCCTGTTTTCAGGTCAGAGAATCCAATGAAAGAGGCCAACGGCTGAGACATTCGCACAGATCCTGTGATTACAATAGATAAATCATGTCCCCAACATCTTCTGGAACCTGAAGCAGGGAGCTGTTCAGGGAGAAATTTTATGTGCATCACCACCCCTTTGTAAATCTGGGTGAACTATAACGACATCACCGACGTCACTTGAAATTAACGACCAAGATTTGAAATTAAGTAGATGGAGCCAAACAAGCTGCAAGCAACTCTAGCTGTTGTCTTTTCCTCGCCCGATGGTCAACAGAAAGACTGTGAGATTTGAAAGGTGTCAGCCAGCGACCCGCCCAAATCATCCAATTTCAACGAAGTAGGCCCAAACAATGTTTGATCGGGTTAGACCAAAGCTAAAGGCTGGAGCTTGCCTAGTTGATCAGACCACGCTCGCGTTTCGATGTTGTAGAAGCCAGCAGGGGAACTGGAAAGGTCCCAGGTATCGACCCCAAAATCACCTGACTTCGTTAAAATAGGGCCAGACAATGCCTGATGGGCTTTGACGGCCAAACAATTTTTGATCGGGCTTGACCAAAGCTGAAGGCTGGACCTGCCTAGTTGATCAGGCTACGCTCGGATTTTGCGGTCATGGACGCTAGAAGTGAGATAGATGCCTGCGTTTCTCCTGGCAGCCCTTGTCCTTTTAGCGTGGTGGCTCGGCCAGTGGCGCGTGTGAGGGTCACCTTGCGAACGGTCTGGGTTCCATTTTGCTCTTGGCCAGACACAGACATCGCCCTATTTCTTCTACACAGGCCCAGAGCAAGAGAGCTGGACATGCGGCCGGAAAGTTCTTTGCGCTCTTGACGCTTCATTGAAACATTGGGCAGACTTTGCGAAGCTACCCATTAAAAAAGTTAGGGGATGCTCAAGTTGGCATGGGCGCAGTCAAATCATGACCAAAATGGCGCCAGAAGGTGGGCCTCTTATCGTGGAGCAGTCTGAGTGGTAGCCAAAAATCACGGAATGAGTTGGATCAAAAAGAAGGCGCCGAAAGCGCAGAAACTTCGGCAGTCAGAGACATTCTTCTGACGGATCGCCTAGCGTACCCCGGCCTGGAAAGAAGCCCCGAACATCATTGCCTTGTTCTGGACAGAAAAGCGGGCGTTTCAAAATTGAAAGCGTACAGTTTCTGCTCGCGGGGTGCAGACTAAGTTGGCCACC